TATTATTGCTGCCACAACCATCCATGTTGCTAACGGCTGTTTTTGTAATAACACTGTTGAACTATTGTTCCTTTAAAGGTCCATCCTTCCTCTGCCGCTTATCCTTTTCAGGGTCGTGGGGGGCTGGAGCCTATCCCAGGTCACCAGTCTGTCACAGGTTTAACACATAGACACAGACAACAATTCACTCCTATGGGCAATTTAGAGTTTCCAATTAACCTATCCTCACTAAATGCATGTCTTTGGACTGTGGGAAGAAGTCTGAGTACCCAGAGACGACCTACGCCAGGGGTGGGCAACTCCAGGCCTCAAGGGCCGGTGTCCTGCAGGTTTTAGATGTATGCTTGATCCAACACAGCTGATTCAAATGGCTAAATGACCTCCTCAACATGTCTTGAAGTTCTCCAGAGGCCTGATAATGAACTAATCATTTGATTCAGGTGTGTTGACACGGGATGAGATCTAAAACCTGCAGGACAGCGGCCCTCGAGGCCTGGAGTTACCCACCCCTGACCTACACAAACACGGGGAGAACATGCAAACTCCACACAGAAAGACCCCGGCCTGATAGTGGAATTGAGCTCAGGATGTTCTTGCTGTGAGGCAACAGTGTTAACCATCATGTCACAATAATTCCACAAACTAAGAAATGTAAAAAAGTAAGAATGACAGATGAATAAAGTGAAGTCTTTAGTTTATTAAATGCTTTGTTCTGTCCAGAATAACCAAACTTTAATGTGTTGTTTCTCTTAATTTACAGCCCCAATTAAAAAAAAAAAGCTGTTTAAAATTTGAATAAGATTTTCAAATCCCATGTTTTGTTCCCAGTAAAACACAAAACATATGACATGTTCGATATGAGACCTTTTACACTTTCATGAAAAAATAAAAGCTTGATGGCAGCAAAACATCTCAAAAATGTAGGAAGGCAACGAAGGAAAAATAAATGGTACTAAAAACAAACAGCTGGAGGAACATTTTGCAACTAATAGTAACATAACTGGGTTTGAAAAGAACATCTAAGAGAGGGAGAACTTCTCACAGGTAAAGATGGACAGATGTTGAGTAATCTGCAACAAACTACTTCTTCAAACTGTGGAAAAACTAAAATTGTGAAGACTTTGAATATCTCATCGTCTGATTGTCTGCATACTATCATTAAAACATTCTGAAATCTCATTTTCATTGCATGGGGTCAGAAACGCTTACAGAAACCACTGTCTGTGCGTTTACCTCCTAATATCACCGCATAGTGTATTCAGCTGCTGTGTGACTAAAAACAACTATCTGATTTAGTGATGGGATTTATTGCCTTAAGCTGTAAGGGAGGCAAGGAATTTTCCTCACACAGTATGATGGAGCGATCAAAAACAACACAAAGTTCCAGTTTTTTGAAAGCTCTTTCTTCAGAAGACCAGTCTTAAAAATAGCTGATCTCGAGGTAGCAGCTTCTTTGCTAAAAATGCCTCAGCAGCATTACAAGAGCCAGAATGAAGCTGGTGACTGTCAGACTCGGGGAGAGGGCTTACTTGTGCTGCATCTGGTAATAGATAACCCTGCAACTTAGCGTGCAAAGGGAGAATGCGTGAGTGCCCACTTTGTCAGATTGTCAATATGTCTTCAGGATACGGAGACAGAGTGGGTCTAGAGTTCAGAAAGAGTTTGCTGACGTGATCAGCAAGCCAATATGTTCACCACATTCTAGAAACACATCCATATACTGTAAATGCTGATGTATTTAAGGATGTAACTAATAATATCATTTGTGACATTTTTTATTCAGAGATTTCATTTATTGTAGGATCTACCTAACAATATAAAGCACCTTGAGTCGACTATTGTTGTACTTTGGACCTGTATAAATAAAATTTAATTGAATTTCCAGAGCAGGGATCTAAAGACAGTAAGAGACTTGAAAGCTGTGGGGCTGCAGGTCCTTTATAACACACTGCTTCTTTTATAGCATCTTTCTACTCATTTGAACACTTTCTCCCACAAGTCTCACTCTTCCAATCACACACTGCACAGGGGGAAGCTTGGGGAGTAACATTTTACACAAGGATACTCTGGCATGTAGACTGGAGAAGTCAGGGATTGATGCACCAGCCTGATGATTGGTAGATGACTAAATCTACCACCTGAGCTGAAATAACAAAAAGACAAAAAATAACAGAACAAAGAAAAACTAATTACCGGAAATCACATGGAACTTACTTGTTTATCCATCTAACACAAAAGACTAATTCAGACTCTTATTATTGGATTTAAAATAATATTGGGTTTGCTTGTTGGCACAAAATTGCGTGTCAACATATCCCAAGCTTTCCAAAGTGAGCCTTTGTTACTTGTAAAGCAGGGGTCTCCAGGCCTCGAGGGCCACTGCCTGCAAGTTTTAGATCTCACCCTGCGCCAACACACCTGAATCAAATGATTAGTTCATTAGCAGGCCTCTGGAGAACTGCAAGACATGTTGAGGAGGCAATTTAGCCATTTAAATCAGATGTGTTGGATCAAGCACATATCTAAAACCTGCAGGACACCGGCCCTCAAGCCCTGGAGTTGGGGACCCCTGATGTAAAGTATTACTCAAAAAGATCCTGAGCAGCTTAAAACAGAATAATGCAAAAGACGTTTCATTAGCACTGAGTTCAAATGCATAAAAAAACCCACCAGATGTATTTTGTATATTTATCCATTCTTTTCTTTTTTCTTTTATCAACGATAGCTGCAGAGATGCTTTGAATGTATTTCTTGTTTTTCTGCCATGCTGCAGCCACACAGTCTCCACATGTTCAGCATGCTCCTGGTAAATAGGACTGGGACCGATTAAGAAAACAAGCTGAGGATCCTTCTTTAACATCTCTGTGAAAAGAGAGAAATGAAACAACACCATGAAAATCTTTAAAAATAAGCTCTGCACACTGGTGAAGGCTTTATTACAAGGAGTCGATGAGATTTGATGTGTGTGGGCAGTCCCAGTGAATCAGGGCTTTGAGTGACTGATGATCAGTTATTACCTCAGGTGGATCCTGAGGGACACTGAGTGTGGTGGATCTGTGAGCAGCTTGAGGCTCTGATTAAAACATGACTGATTTGCGGTTTACTCAAACTCTGCCTGATTCACGAGTGTGCAGACACACACATGCATGCACATGAAAAGTTATGAAAAAGGTTTTCTGAAAACTGTAAGAACAGGCAAAAATAAATCTGAAAAAAAAAAAACCTGCAAAAATGTAAGTTCATAATTTATTCCAGTGCTCTTCTCTGTTGCACAGCAACAGTTTGGTAGTTTGTGAATACAAATGACTAAATCATATATTTCTCCTCAATTAACAGTTTCAGCCATAAAATCAACACGAGTATGTTAAAAATCTTTGTGGTATTTTTTCACACTCAATAACTTTGTTTTTTTTGGTATGTGAGTGTTTAATGGGAGCAATTATTAGTTTCCCTGATGTAGTCAAAACCAGTAATAATAACATAGTTTGGCCTGATATTACTGATTCTTTCCACACAGATTTTTTTGTCCTCTAAAGGCAGCAGGACTGATTCACACACACACACATTCATTCAGTCTGATAAATATGGCCATGGTGTGCTACGGTGGCTACAATGTCCCCCCTTTCAACTGGATTTGCGGATAATAATTAATTATATAATACGAGTAATAATAAAACCTATTAAAACATATCCCAGCTATCAGTCAGTGTGTTATATATTGAATCAGGCACACATTCATAATGTGAAAACACTCTATGCATTATTGTAAAATCAGTAGTCACTGACATAAATGAGACATCTTATAAAGTGATCTATAGCAACATTGCACATCAGTTTGCCTGCTACATTTTACAGCGGTAAGTGTGCCTGAACTCTTTCACTGAAGTATTTAACCGGGATAAAATGTTACTTTCAGGTCTTCAAGATAAAATAGGAAATAAATAATGTCCAACTTTGCAGTTTTCTGCAGCAGGGTTCCTCTTTTATATGTACTATTAATATTCCCTCTACCCCAATACGCCTTCAGGCACCTGCTGCTGCAAAGGAGCCCCACAGCATCAGTGCTCTGCCAACCAGACTTCACCATCATCGTGAGAAATACTGCTGGGAAGTACAAAAGTGCAAATTTGATCTCCACTTACTAACAGTGCTACTTATTAATACTACATATCTGCCCACTCTATTTGTAGTTAAAGGCTCTGCAAACCCACGCAGCTATGAGTAAAAACACCTGTGTGGGTGGATAAAAAAATACATTCTGGATAATACATTTTTATTGATCAAAATGCCAAACAATACTCCAAATGTGCTCTGTCTCAAGCAGCAGCAGGAGCCACCATGAAAAAGTATCATTCTTTTCATGAATCCTTACTTTTATTGTTTGAAAATGTTGGAAAAATAATGTTGGAGACATCTTTGTATTATCTTTATTTTATGAGGGGTGCGCCCGCCCCGCCCCCTGGTTGGTGGCATCTCTGCCCAACACATCTTAAAAATGCTACAAGTACAACATAAAACAAACAAAAATCCGCAGCATAACACAGTGGTTCAAAAAACATTACAAAAGTGGCTTTTTTCAAAAGAAATATCCACAAGTCTCCTTCACTGCATTTCTCATGGTGTTTTTAGATTCACCAATAGTCAGAGGCGTGGTTAAATTCCAATTCCCTGCTTAATTTTCAACCATTGCTTTGTCCTCATGATGCAGAGTCACTACAATTGATATAAACTAATCAACTAAAATTGATATACATTTATAGACTGGAGATTAATACTAAAATTCAAATTGTTGAAATAGTTGAAAAGTTTAATCTTTTAGGTTTTAACAATTAATCAACATTAGCCAGAAAACATCGGAAATGTAAGACCACAGTGACTGGAACATGCTGTGCTGGTTCGGGATTAACAGGAGCTTCACATCAAACTATCCAGTTTAGTAAACATATAATACATGAAAAAAAAATGTGTTTGATGGCTTATTTTATTTTCAGCGGACCCGCAGAATCAGCAGATGGTGGAAGACGTGAAGGCTGCTCCTTAGTGTTGAGCTACAGACGAGGAGCCCATTGGCTTCATGGAAATGTGGTGAGGGGGGAGCGGGGCTTCCTGCGCTATAAAAGCGGAATGTGCGCGCGTGGAGAGGACGGTACCTTCAGTCAGTCGACCGGTGAGCATCACAGAAATCCACACGCAGACACGCACAGCGAAGCCATGAGTGAGGTAGGTTCTTCTTAGTAAATCGCTTTTTCCGCTTTGTGTTTGTACTTTGGCGTCAGAGACAACTGATATTCCGGACTTGGTATAAAGTTATAAGAGCAGAGCTGCAGATTCAAATAATAATAACATTTAACCCTCGCTTTGTCCAACACTCTTGCTGCTGAGATAATCGATATTCAACTTTGGTGTAGAGCCATAAAAATAACATGCACACATGTTTAACATGAAGAATGAACTCAGTGTGCGCTTTTCTCGATTTTTCCCCACATTCCTACATTTTACGCAAAAAAGCGATAAGCGATAGTGTTACAGTGAGTCACAGCCTAGATGAATATTGCTTCTGTTGTCATGACTGGAACTGATGTGCAGCTACCAGGCAGACTCTCAGCATACGTGATGGGATTTTTGCAGCTCTGATGATCTTAATCACTTCACAAACTTAAAATGACAGCCAGCACAGTCAGGTTGTTTGAGCCACTCCTCAAACCGCTGAACTGTGTGTGTGTGTGTGTGTGTGTGTGTGTGTGTTGAAGTTTTACTGGTGAATATGGCTACCAGTGACATTTCAGGCAGCATTGACCTACACAGTTAGTCTAATCATACAACTATTCAGATGTGAAAGAAGAAGCCAGTCTGATAATGTCAGAGTGGAGATTAGAAGTAAGAGTGTTCACTGGCAGGGTAAGTCCTGTTGTTTCTGAATTATTCAAGGCTAGCTGGGAACCCAGGGAAATAAAACATTCCTTGAGCATTCACAAGGAGCCAAGGCTCCAACAAGACCGCTCGTTCAACCCAAGAACCTGGACTGACTAAAACCATATAATACAAGGCTACTTTTAACCTGTCTCCAGCTCTGAGTCCACTGTTGGGCTTTATTATGCAGTAATTTTGTCACTCGATTAGTGCTTCCAGTGTATGTAAATTGTGATGAACACCAGCTGTCTCTACCTTATGAATCTTTTATTGGAGACTTGTTATGTCTTTTTGTTCACTCACATACACACATACACAAACTCACTGACTTCTCTCCTCCCCTCCTGTGTGCTGCTTACAGAGTGAAGTTAAAGTCCAATAAATAAGTCATTATTACACAAAGGAAAAGTCATGAAATAAAATTGCGTAGCGCATGTCTGTGATGGATTCTTGTGTCTTTAAAAACAGCAAGGCCAGGGCAGGAATCTGTTGCTCTGAATGAATAATTAAATGCAAATCAGTGGTGGGCTCCATTTACCTTTAAACACTGCTCTTCTAGCTCTTTTTCATTGCGCTCAGAATCCCACACAGTTTTAATGCTCGTCAAGATAACCGGCATTCCCACCAGAAGCAGAGAAGACTCACATCACTGTAGAATCATTAACAACAACAACAACAACAAACTTTATTCATATAGTACTTTAAAAAACAGTGGTATGCCAAAGTTAACATACAAGAGGGTCAGATATAAGTAATAGAGACAGATGAAGGCCATGGCAAGTACCATGTATGCTCGCAGGTTGATGGCATTAAAAACACAGAAACAAAAGAAATACAAATAAAAGCATCATAGAACAATATGTGTAAAGGATAAAACAGTCAAGAAAAATGTAAAAATAATTTAAAGTTAAGAATAGAACTAAAGTAGCAGCAAGCATTAACTGGTAGAAAAGGCGAGGTTAAATAAATAGGTTTTAATTGCGATTTGAAGGATTGAATGGAATCGGACTCACGGATAGTAATGAGGAGGTTATTTCACAAATTGGGTGCAGCCAAGGCAAATGCGCGGTCACCTGTAGTCTTCAGCCGGGATCTCAGCTGTACCAAAAGTGACTGGGAAGATGATCTGAGTACCCCAGCACGGGTGTATGATCTAAGTAGTTCAATTAAGTTGTCTAGACAATGGGGGAGACCTTTATCAAAAACACGGAGACTTATTTCTCTAGGGACACTTGATCTTACCATCTAAAGCAAGTACAGGCAGTGCATATAAGCAATAAATATGCCTATAAACACTGTGTAACTGCATTACAGCAATCTACCGAGGCTAAATCCTGTTTCAAAGCCAGACAGCACTCTACACCAGCCAACCTACTGCCTGGATTGGTAGTGTTTTAAAAATCAATGCATGTATCACTGTCGTATTAAGCCTTACACTGTGCTATGATTCATGAAAAAAAAAGGCCATAAGTGATCCCCTGCTGTATTGTTCAGGCTCGGACTGATTCATCTTTGGCAGTGTCCACAAACATCAGGCAGTCTGAGGCTCCTGTCGAGAAAGTGGCTTAAATGTGCTGCCTGTCACCATAGTGATGAACAATTCTGCATTTCCAGCCAGTAAGAGGCTTTGAAATTACATTAGCAGCATTTTAGGCTGGTGAGGACTGCATTGCTGATGTTTATGTTGCATATTATCCATAAATCTCTCAACATTTTGTTTCTCAAACTCAACCAACGTGTCTGAACTCGGCATCATCTTCTTATTTAAAGCTACATAAAATAGAAACTTTCATTTAGTTGCTAGTTGCTGTGCACGTGTCTAATGGGAATTTTCCAGTGTAAGTAACCTAGTGTCGCTTGTAGTTGCTGTTGTGCTGTTTCGAGTTTTAGTCCTTTTTTTGTTTGCTTAAGCCTCCGGTTGTTGAACAAAAATTTAATTAGATGGCTCTCAGTGGAGAGGTTTCAGCCAGCTGTTTGTGGTTGCCAAGATATGTCCGTTCCACTTTTCAGATTTCCAGCTAAAGATAATGACTCCTTGTGTAGCCCAGTTTCTCACCTGGAGATTTGCCTACAATACCCAGCCCCGTGGTGGTTCAGGGGGAAAAGTGCCAGCCATGCAAAAGCGACTGCTGTTGGTCATGTTACATCTCCTCCCTTTTGTGTGATTAGTAGAAGTACATTGAAAGTACAGTGTGTACAGTAGGCTGCTGCACAGGGGCAGATCCATGTAAGAGAGAGAAAAACACATCTGAATTGGTCACATAGCTACTGGATAACTGTAAAAAAAACCTCCTCTAACAACAATTTGTGATTTCTGTATTCACTTGGTTACATCTTTAATGATTTTTCCTGTTTCAGTCACTGAGGGCAGTGAGGATGCCGCTGCCCGGTGCTTCTTTGGTTACATGCAGACTGTAGCGGCTTTACACCTGGGTCATGTTTTCATTTATAAAGGTATACGACCTCTATTTTGGTGACATACTGCCAGTGACCCCTTCTCAAGAAGCAAGTGAGCAGTCAGATGGTGTATATACAGTTTAACCAGATAAACCACTGTTGAGGTAAAACTCAAATTTACCATGAAAATCCTAAGTTCTTTATTGTTATAGTAAATATCAATTTTCTTTTACTTTTCCGAGGATGTGTTGTGAGCTGAGTGGCGGCCTAGAGCTCTTCCATCTTCCCATCACTCTATCTCTAACTCCAGACACCTTTTGAAGGAAACTCATTTCCACCACATGTATCCCCAAGCTCATTCTTTAATAAGTTACTGCCCACAATACGTAGTAATGTAGATCAATGAGTAAATTGCTTCACCTTCAAGCTTAGCTCTCTATTTATGGCAACAGACTGGTACTATCTGTTACTGTACTCCAGATCTCTCCCTCTACTTTGCTCTCTTCCTACTCATGAACTCCTCCCTAAACGTGAGCAGGTAAGCCATTGTTTTATGGCTGAGAGGCATGGCCATTGGACTTAATGGTGCTAATTCTGCCAGCCACTTAGCACTGGGCCACAGATGTAGCCTTAGTCTATGTCCAAACTTGGTATATCAGCAGTTATTGAGTAGTTGTCCTGTTATTAATGCTTGTAGAACAATAAAACTGTAGTGAAATTGTTTAATATCAGAAAAAAAATAAAAGAATATGATGATTTCATATGTGTTGTTCTCTTATCTGGAACATAACCTGCTGTGGAGCAGGTTTCCAGCTACCATGGCAACATATTCCAGTAAGAAGTGAACCACCTTTGTTGTACAGAAAACCCAGAGTTTACCCTGAAGATTTCTGGATAAGATGAAATACTGCTTTGTAGTACAGGCCTCTGATGGCAAGGTCCAACACCCACCAGGAACATGTCTACCTTTTTGCAACATGAGCTAAGTTATCACTGTGATAGTACAACTACTGAATGGATTGCATTAAATTATCCATCCATTTTCTGCTGCTTATCTAATTCAGGGTCACGGGGGAGTTGGAGCCTGTCTCAGCTGACATAGACCATGGACAGATCGCCGTGGCTAACACAGAAGGACAGACAAGCATTCAAACTCACACCAATGGCCAAGTTAGAATCACCGATTAACCAACCCTTATGGTGGTACCCAGAGAGCACCCACAAAAAGAACATGCAAACTGCACACAGAAAGGCCCCGGCCAGATGATCAGTTCAAACCCAGGACCCAGTGCTAATCACACCCCTAACTGGTGGCCTGCACTGAGTTAAACTGGAATAAATAATGTCATTTGCAATTGAGTGCTCAGACTTTGTTGTGGTAAATAAAGTAACTTTTAGGGCAGTTATGTGGTCTTCCTCACCCTGGCGCTAACTACAGAGACTGACGTTACTGCATTCAGGCAGTAGTCTCAGACCGCTCACTTTTATCACCTTTTTGACTTCTCGGTGCACAGTGTTGGTAGCACAATGGTGAAGTCATTAGCAAAGTTGTCACACAGAATGAAGATGCAGGGGAATAAAGTTTTCCTCTGGAATTCCACTTTTTTCTGGAAAACAGAAAGGTGGTGATTTCATATGTGTTGATCTCTTATCTGGAATATGTTAGGTTCTGGTGAGAGAGACTGAGTGGCTGTCTGTCTGTGATGGACTGGTGACCTGTCTAGGGTGTATGACAGCTGTGACTGTGAATCGGACATGAACAGATAGATCTTTTTAACTTATTGGTGGACAATGTCATGATGCACTGCACAATAATAACCACGAGGAAGATGGACAAAGCCACACAACTGAGACTCACAATGCAATAAAACAGATTTAGCCCTGGTGTCAAATTGTGCAGCAGCTTTTAGTGG